CCTTCCCCAGCTGTGCCAGGCTCCGGGTCGTGGCCACCCCGCGTCCCCTGGAGGGGGTGACGGCCGGGGCTGCATGGCGCGGGCTCTGTCGCGGGGCACACAGGGTTCGGACAGGGGTCAGGCAGAGACGTGGGGGCACACATGGTCACACACGGAGCCCTTCTCCCCACGGCTCCAGCTGGAGCTTCCACGTCTGCCGGCAATGAACGGGCAAGGACGGCGCCTGGGAATGCGGCACGGGAGGAGCCACAAAGGCTCCCGCACTGCCCCCGGCCCGAGCAGAGCCCCCAGTCCCGGCTATCCCTATCCCGGGACCTTCCCGGCTCCTCCAGGAGGCCGGTCCGGGCCATGCAGTGCGAGTGGGCACCGGGAGAGGGACCCACCGCCCCGGCCATGCGGCACCGGGAGGAGCCGGGATGGACACACCAGTGGGGGTGATAAAGAGGACCTGGAGGGGTTGAACGGGACCATCCAATGATGGACAAATGGATCCACAGGTACCCAGAGTCCCCAGCCCCACTACGTGTCCCCTGCTGCTGTGTCACAGGCACGACAGGGCTGTTAGGGYTGCCAGGCAAGTCAGGATCTTGACTCCCCACGTCACCTGTCCCCTGTTTGTGCCCTGCCAGGGGATCTGCTGGGCAAGGAAAGCACGAGTGGGCATGTACAGGCACCGACACACACGGACACACGGACACGCTCCCAGCTGTGACCGTGCCTGTGAACATGCAAACACACAAACGCCTGTGCAGAGGGTCACACACGCACACACCTTTGTCCAGGGCTGGCCAACACCTTCCAGCCCCAAATCCCTTGTCTGCAGGACCCCGAGGAGGAGGGGGACGAATCTAAAGGGTCCCACTAGAGCAACAAGAGCCCCGCCAGGCACCCCAATTTCCCCCTGCCAGGCCCGTAGGAAGATCTGTACAGGAGGCTGTGCGGTCCTTGGGATGTCTGTAAATCACGAGAAAGCTCAGGTCGGGGCAGCTGCCCGGGGCACCCCCAGCCCTCGGGGTTGCACAACCCCTGATGCAATTTCCTTGTCCCAAGAGGTTGTCCCCACAGGCAGGGGTTGCACCAGGAAGGGCAGGAACCACAAGGGAGGAGYCACAGAGAGAAGCACCCCAGGACTTGTATCTGCTCTCCCCTGTAATGGGACCAAGCCCTGCAGCATCACCCCTGCAATCACCCAGTCCTGACACAGCAGCTATTGCGGGAGCCTGGGGAAGGCAGCTGGGAGCAGACGGCCCAGCTGGGAAGGGCAGTGACAGGAATTCCAGGCTGCAAACACACCACTGTCCAGGGCGATGGGGAAACTGCACTCCCATCAGGGAACAGAACTCCACAGCTGGCTCATAGCACTGTCCCCTCTGTGTCATCATCCCCTCAARGTGCCTGATCAGGGCAAGATGCATCCCAGCGCTGCCGGATTGTCCCACCACAGAACCCAGGGTGCAAGCAATCKTTTTTTGCTGTGTCTGCCCCCCAACAGCCCATGTCTGAGACCAGGGACTGAAGGAGGGAGTGAGATACGGATCCCACAGGAGCCACTGGGAGAGGCTCTGTGGGGGCACAGCGCTGGGACACAGCAGGAATTGGGACAAGCCTGTGAGAGACCCCCTCTGGGCACCACCACTTGGTCCCAGGCCCGGTATCCCCCTGCAAACCCACCCAGCCYAAAGTGGTCTGCAAAAGCTCCCCCCGCATTGGGTGAGGCAGATATCCCGGGACTGAACACACCCAAAACCCAGAGGAGGGGTGTGAGGGGCAGGAAGAAAAGGCACGTGTGGTCATCAGGACTTGTTTAATAACAAAACTCCAGCTATTGTAGAACAATATTCTCCAGCATCATTGTAATATACAATACGGGGAATGCTCTCAGCAATCTGAGAAGGAAGGACACGGCCCACGGCACCCCCTGCCCAGGCTGCAGGGGTACCCCCAGGGCAGCCCCGCCACGGGCCRGGGATGCAGATGAGCCGCAGTGCTYAGGGACGCTGTCCCGGGGACGATGTCCATGGTGGGATCGCGATCCCGGGGACGTCCGTGGGGGGTCCAGAGCGGTCTCAGCGGCAGAGGATCCGATCGGCAGCGGGAATGCACGGAGCCTGCGGGAACAGGACACGAAGCGGCCGGTCAATACTTGTCAGGAGGCTCCCGGAGAGGACGGGGATGGAGAGGGACAGGAGGAAGGGACATCCCCGGGAAGGAGAGGGTGCGGTGCAGATCGGGGGGAGCAGATTCCAAGGGAACGCCGGTGCTGCCCGGCAGGAGCGCGGGACAGAGCCGGTGCCGCGGGGTCCGCACTCACCTCGGGGGAATCCCCAGCGGCGGCGGGGCGGGGGGGCCCGCACTGCAGCTCCAGCTGCAGGTCCCAGATGTAGTCGATAACGTGCTGCAGCAGCTCCACCTTGGAGACCCGCCGGTGCCGCGGCAGCGTCGGCACCAGCGCCCGTAGCCGCGAGTAGCAGCCCTTCATATCGTACAGCAGCGCGGCGGCCGCCTGCTCCGCCGCYACCGGGGACACCCCTAGACCCGGCCCGCAGCGGGCGGCCTCCCCGGGCCGTACTGCCTTCAGCGGGCCGCCGGCGCCCGCGGGCAGCGGCGAAGAGGCGACAGCGGCAACCTTCATGGCGAGGGGCTGCGRACACGAGGAACACAGCGAGAACCGTGCGGGCGGACAGCGACAGCGCGCCCCGCCGCGCCTCTTATAGAGCGCAGCCAGCGGGGGGCGGGGCCGCGGGGACAGCCACGGCCAATGGCGGCGCAGAACGGGCAGGAACGGCCCCGCCCCCTCCATTCATGCTCCCCGAAGGGCAGCGTCTTAAAGGGGCAATGGCGGGAGAAGRCCGTGACGAGCTTGGGCTGGGGTGCAGGGATACCGGCGGTGCGTAGGCAACCGGGGTGCGGAGCGCCCGCCGTGCCCCGCCATTAAGGCGGGTGGTTGCCCCGCGGGCTCCCGGTGTCGGGCTGTCCGCTCGCCCCTCGCTCTCTGCAGGCCCCGGTGCCCCTGAGGGCTCCCGGCCCCCCCGCGCTCCCCGCGCTCCCCCCGCCCGCGGCGCCTCAGACCGGGAGACGCCAGGGTCGTGACGTCACCCATTCATAAAACCCCGCGCGCTGTCAGCGCGGCGCCGGGCGGGCGGTGCCCATGGCGACGGGGGCGGGCCGGGGACACACACCTGCAGCCCCTACGGGGGGCACCGGGACCCCCACCGAGACAGCGCGACCCCCGCCGGGACAGCGGCACTCCCACGGAGACACCGGCATCCTCACGTGGATACGGGGGCACAGGGACACCCGTGGGGACACCCGTGGGGACACCTGGATTCTCACGGGGACACGGGGGCATCGGGGTCCCACGGCGACACGGGCACATGGGCATCCCCATGGGGGCAGCCCGTGCTCCGCGCCCCCCGCCGCAAGTTCGGTCTCCCCCTCTGAGGGTCTCAAACCGTGGCAGAGCTGCTCGGYGGTGGCTGCCGGGGCGGGGGTCGCCAGGTTCGGGTCCACCAGAATGGGGAGAGAAGTCGAGCGCTGAGTGGGTGGGGCRGCGAGGGGACGTGGGCTGCGAGCACGGTCCTGCCGCGGGGCAAACCGRTGGAGGTCCCGCCGCCGTGCGAGGCAGCCGATCCTTACCCCGAAGTGTTCCTGGTCCGGGCAGTAATTAGCGTTACTGCTAATTACCCCGCACCTGCGGGGAGGACAGGCGGCGCCCCGGGAGGGCCCCCGAGCAGACCCCGGCACACCCCAAGCAGCACGGAACGGTGTGGGAAGGGAGGGAGCAGGCAAAGCTGCAGCCTGAGACACTCCCGGGTGTGTGTACAGTGACACGCGAGTGTGTACAGACACAGACACGCAGGGTGTGAGTGTGCACACACAAAGGCACGGACATACACCGATGCGTGTGCAAACGTGTGCACAGCAAGATTCACATGCACGTAAACCTGTGGAGCACAAACACAGCCACAAGTGCACGCACACGTGGATGGATGCACGTACAGGTACACACACACGCGTACACACATGCGCTCTCATGCACGCATACACCCTGCCATGCACACCAACACGTGTGCCCAAGTGCCAGTGCAGTTCTCCCGGCCCTTTCTGGGCTGGGGAACCAGACCCTGCTTGCACATCCCCAGGCATTCAGGGAGCCGAAKGCCTCTCCTTCTGGAGCGGGGGAGCAATCCTGGAGAGCATGGATGAACTCCAACCCTGCCAGCCTGGCTGGCGGGAGTTGGATCCCTCTGTCCYCTTGTCCCTCCCTCTGTCCCTCCTCCCAGTGTCCCCCAGCCCGGTGCGGTGGCGGTTCCCAGGGTGGGCACAGCGCTGGGGTCGCCCCCTCCATTCAGGGCTCGGCGGAGGGCCCGGTGCTGCCCGGTTCCCACCGCGGCTCTCAAAGCTGCTAATTAGCCCCCATCTGGCGGCAGTGGCCGGGCCGCGGCGGGAGGCCGGGGACATTGTGCACAGGAATGTCTTTCAGGGCCGCCGGCCGGCCGCCGCCACCGCCAGCTGCGCCGCCAACAATGCCAGGACGAGCCGGACCCCGCGCCCCTGCCACCGGCCACCCCAGGCGACGTGGGGACGGGGACAGATTTCGTGGCCGTGGTGGATGTCATGGCACGCGTGGCGCAGCCTCCCTGGCACACTCTGGCACACCGCCCCATGCGCACTCCGGTTGCCCCGGACTATGGAATGCCCCCGACAGCAGGACACCCTCGCYCCATCCTTCTGCATGTAGGGACGCTGGGGATGCGGTGCTGGGGTCAGGGCTGCCGGTGTGGCACCGGGACGCTGCCTTGGCCACAGCTGGCCGCGGGGTCCCGGCCTGGCACGGCGTGCCGGCCGGCGCAGCAGCGTTGTCCGGCAGAACACAGAGCTTCATTTCCATCTCAATTCTGGGAACGGGGCGCGCGGCGCGGTAACAGCAGCCTCGGCCATATGGTGCTGGCGGGGCTCAGCCCGGCCGGGGGGGCAGCCGGGGGCGGCTGCTTTGCGCTGAGCAGGGGTTGCCCGGCAGCCGAGCACATCAAAGCCCCCGGCCGCCCCCGCCCCGCCGGGACCACACAGGGCACGGCCGCGCCAGGCCGCCGAGGGGCCGCGGGGCTGCCTGTGCTGCTGTGATGGCGAGGACGGGCTACGGTCGGCACCCCAGAACCGCACTCGGGCATGGACACCGCAGGTCAGGCTGGGCCCCCACCAGTGACCAGGACCCCCAGATTTGTGCTGCTCCTGCCCTGGCTGGGGTTGGGCTCCATCCAGATTCCCTCTCCCGGTGCCATCCGCAGGTCATCCCTGAGGCTGCACAGAGCCTCCACCCCCCCATGTCCGCATGACAGTGCTGAGCCAGGCTTGCAGATGTGCCGGGGCTGCCGGCACAGCTGGAGCGGGGCCGAGGCCTGAGAAAGCCCCTGCGCATTCCCCTCCCGCCTTCTCCCTTCCCGTTCCCAGCTCCATCCGCTGCAGCCCAGACCAGCTGGAGCCAGGCAGCCCTTCCTGGGATTTATTCCAGCTTCCTGCCCCTCCTCGCTGGCCGGCCGGGGCTGGGGCTGCCTTGGGCTGCTTCCTCTCCCTGCTCGCAGCCGCCGGCCGGGCGCCACCGCCAGTACCCATCATCACACGGGACCCCGGCTTTCACCACCAGCACCCACCACTCCATGGGACCCCAGCACTCATCACTGGCACCCACCACCATGGCAAAGCATCCCTCKCCCCATGTGGTGAGCATGAGGTGCAACTGCAGCACCCTTCRCCCATCATYACCCAGCTGCACCCCTGCTGYGGTGGGGARGCTCTGCAGAGCTCTAGAGACAAGYAACCATWRTGTGTGTCCCCACTCATCCCAGGCACCAGCACTCCCCAAACGTGAAACCACCTTCACCTTGCCTGGCATTTGCACCCTGTGCACCCTCAGCTCAGCCCATGCCACCCCACTGCAATTCCTGGTGAGAGCTTGGCACAAGARGAATGCCCAGGGGCTCCCCTAGACCACGACCCTGAGGTGCTATGGGTGAGTGGGTGGGCGAGGATCATCCCAAASCCCACATCTGCTGGCAGCAGAACAGGCAGCTTTGGCCCCTGCCCTAGCTGGGTGCAGTGAAGTGGATGGAGGTTTCCTGTGGGAGTCGGCACATCCATGTTTCCGCAGCCCCCACCAAGCCGGAGGGATCCTGCAGAGAGGGGAAGGTGGCCCAGCAGCGGTCCAGACACTCTGGAGCCGTGTGGCCTCGGCGCTGGCGGGACCGGAGGTGCCACAGGCCCAGGTGCAGCAGGCGAGCAAACTGGGGACAGCCGAAGCGCCGGCTCCACTGGCGGCTCCTTGCAGGGCCCAACACACTTCCTTCCTCCCGGCCAGCCCTGGCTTATCGGCCAGGCAGGGTGAGGGGTGACCCYGCTCTCCCCTTTCCAGGCCTTCCGCTCCCTGCAGCCCTGGGAAAGCTCCCGGCCACGCTTCCACCACACCTACAGCAGGCAGGAGCTGCCCTGAGCTCTGCAGGGCAGCAGGGAGGCAGGAGGGGGATGGTGGCACACACAGGGGGTACCCTGTGCACCCCCAGCCTGCTCCTGCACTCTTGGAGCCTCTGGAGGCTGCACGGGGATGCAGGTCCCACCACCCAAAGCCAGGGAGGATGCAGGATGTGGTGCCAGCCCCCAATATCAGGGTGGGGAGSGGGGTCCTGGCTCAGGGCAGGGTCCTGCACCCCACAGAAGAGCCAGAGTCCTTTTCCACGCAACACTGGAGGCTGGTGAAATCACATCTGGAGTCTAGACTCAGCGACTCGGTGGGCTGGGCCTGGCTGCCGAACTGTACCCAGGCCCTGCTGCACACTGTTTGCTTAGCTGGAGGTATTTAATTGGAATTAAAGTGGCCCCTCTTGTTTTTGCGGACAGGGCTGTTGGAAAAGGAGCTGTAAGTCATAGAAAACATCTGTAGGAGCCTGCGAAGGGTCATTAGATGGCAGAACGCGAGGCGCCACTTTTAGTGCTCGCAGCCGGCGCAGGGAATAATGGTTCAATACGGCTTTTGTGGAGGAGCTGCCAAGCCAGCAAACACTTTCTATTTATTCTGGCAGTGGGCATGGCCAGAGGGATGCAGGATCCTCCACATGTGGGCCCCCAGGATGGGTAGGGAGGACACTGCCAGTGCTGCAGGACACAGGGCAGCTGGTCCCCGTAAAGCTGAGGTGGATGCTGGAGCTGTCCTGCCCTGCAGCCCCTCTGTCCCACATGCAGGGGGATGAACCAGCACCCAAGGGGTGCAGGATGGTGCCTGGCTCTCTGCAAGGAAGGGGAACAATCCATGCTGTCCTCACCCTGCTCCAGGATTGGGTTTGGGGCTACCCACCCCTACCCCTCCCACTCCTGCTCCCCCAGGCCATGGGGGCTCAGCCCCAACTCAGAGCAYGCCAAAAGCTGAGGCAGAACAGTCCCCACCCTGTGGGGTTCCTGCATCCCTAAATCTGGGTGTTGCAGGGCAGGGGCCAGGCTAGGGGAAAGCCCAGTGCCAGAGAAGTGGGAGGGGGAAGGGGATGGTCACTTTTAAACAGCCAGACAACAGCCACCAGCCCCACTGGGAGAAGGCRGGTGAACTGGACACCAATCCCAGTGCTGGCTGGGCGGCTGAGCAGGAGCATGGGCAGACCAGCACTCCTTCCTTCAACATGGTTTAATATGAGAGAAAGCAAATGCACAATACAAAATTTAAAAAC